ATGATGATGATACATGATTATGATACATGAAGATGGTGATGATGGTGATACTTATATGCACTGGAAACGGATTAATAATTGATATTAATTTAAACACTTTAATAATATAATCACCTCAGCTTCAACTTCATCGTACAGAAATTGTTTCTTGAAATGCGTCAAGGCATAGTGTGCACTGTCATTATACAGGTCAAGAGGATACAAAACATGCCTGATAAAAATACAAAACAATTACTTCCTCATACTAATACGACAAACCAACCAAACAACTGACAAATAAATCAACTGACCAGTTGACTGACCGGATGAAAATAAGATGTCCATGACAGATACTGTTACAACTAGCTATTCCAAGGACTAGCAAAAAACTGGGTCTAGTTGGCTTTGCAGTGCATTCCAGAACATACAGTATTTTCAAGATGGCATAWATTTCGTACCCTAAATCAATTACACAATACCCTGCAATGCCATTTTTCCCCTCCACCTTGGAAAGGCTAATAGGATCACCATTCAACCACCACCTCGTTTCAAGATATACTCACTCCATCATACTTGGTTCCTTGGTTTCTAGGATATGATTGGTCAGAATCCATGGCATTGACATATCTATAGGAAACTGTAACCAATGAAAACATCTTTAGTGATCTCAAGTGGGAGTTCAAGTTAAACGGTGGTGGGAACAAGGGCTTAAAATAACGGCCAATCAGTCACTGGTCATGATCACAGGCCATACTTTATTTCTGACTAAACAATACAGTGCAATCGTCAAAATGACAATGCAAAGGTTTGACTGGACAAGTCCCAGTTTTGGCTGGACATTATCCAATTTCCAGCCATTATTTTTAGTCCTGGCAACAATTGATACAACAATTGAGGCAAAACTAACAGATAAACCCAATACTCTCCATTAGGAAACTTCATCGTACCTGGATTCTAGCGCCCATGGTCAACTCTAGGTAGAATTCTCTAAACCACAGTTGTGACAAATCACAACACTCCCTCAAAACTTCATCAAACTTCAGAAGCTGATGAAAGAAGAAAGAGTCTCTCAGGAAGACTTCAATGGCTTCCACATGCTCTTTGTCCAACTCTTTCCTCAGACTTTTCTTGCCTTTGTCTGAAATCAGCGACTCCAACATTGTACGAACCATGTACAGCTGTAAGAAAGGACATTTGAAAGAAATAAGAAAAATTTCATAGTGAAAAACTATAAATGTAACCTGCACTACCATCTAGAAAAGATGGATAAAATAGAAGTTGAAAACAGAATAATAATTAAACATGTAGTATGCGAGTACACTTATTTGTTGGTTCTCTTCTAAAAAAATCTACTAGTTTGGTCTGTAATCACAGAGTGGGACAATCACGAACAGAACCCTCAGATCCATGCTAGGTCAAGCCCAAGATCGAATTGGAATTTAGAAGTTGATTTTTGAGGAGGGAGGAAACCCGGATAACCTGGAAAACCCTCAAAGCACAGCCTCCCTCTATTAGCCGCCTTATCAATTGGGTTCCCTGTGTTTTCCTGCTTCCAACCAAGCCTTAGATGCACAGCACTGTATAGGTTGTTATCAATAGATGTTACTTCCAGTAATAGCTGCATTTTTGATGGCTTGCAGAAGCTTGGAGGTTGTTTTGATCTCTTGTTTTCTGGTTTCATATTTATTTTGACATGTTTTGACTTAACATCTGCTAGTTGCACCTCAGTCAACCACTCATTTGCCCCCAAGTCAACTCCAAAAAGACGTGTGATTGATAGTAAGCAATATCATGATTCCAGGCCTATAATTATCATATTGTTGGTCATGTTTTTAATACCTGTGTACTGGAAGGTCCTACATCTCTCTCTGGAAGCTTTATATTTGGTCCTGACTTTGGGTCTTTCTCACCCTTCAAGATGGGGTCTTTACTTCTCAACTTATCATCTACCCAATCTCCACCAGTGTCTCGAATAGACATCAACACACTACCCAAAACAAAACAAAAACAAAAACAAACAAAAAAAAAAACATTTGTTCAGGATAACATTTGCTTTATAAAAGACTAAAGTAACTAATAAGGAATATTTGAAAGTAAAAAATGCAAAGTTTTCTAGTTTTCAGAGCTGGACTTACGATTTTAAGAGTGTAGCTCTCTTGTTCTTGACAGCCTTTCTTACTGGCTCTCTCAAAGAAAGTTGTATAAATGCTTGCAAATCTCTATGAATTGAGTGACGAGCTGCCTCGGAAAAGATGGGCTCAAGTCTGGACATCAGCCCGTACAGTCCTTTAATCATGGCAATTACCTATAATATATTAGAATAATAATATGATTTGATTTATATTATCTTATTATATCCTGCACTGGCCAGAGGTTTTCCAGGGTCAAGTGTGTGAGTCCTGCACTCACCCAACACACAGGCTTCATTCATACATGCGGGATCCCATTGTATGCATAATACACCAATTCAAGAAGTGTGAGAAAAACTTACCTCAACCAGATTAAATTTCTCTTCGCTACTGTAATTGTATCTTGTTGCCTAGCAATAAAATATCATGTCCAAAAAAATCAAATCAATTCAACTATTTAGCAGTATAGCACTTACTACAGATTTCATTATTATGCAAACTTGGTAGTTGCAAGAAGCACACTGAAGTTCTATTGATTTCTCAGATATCTAGGCTACATTGCTTGCTCCTGATTACAAGAGAGTAGAGTTTATAATGTCTCCCCTTATTCCTCCCTCTATAAAATCCAACATGCTGAATCCCAATTTGATGTGTGAGTTTGTCTTTTGCCTTAGGGAATGTAGAGTGGTAGAGCAGTTTTTGTATGACTGTGAAGAGCACACAGCACAGACATGGTCATGACATGGCAAGACATACCAATCGTTGCACAAAAATTTACTCTTTCTCCAATCAAATGTCCAAAACATGGCTTGGGACACATCGCACATGGGTCATGTCCGACCAATCACATTGCACAACAAAAAAATCCCCCAATCAAGAGACATCACAGAAAACATCACAGTCGTGGCAAGGCACACATACGGCACTGACTTTTTCAAAGTCATACGAAAACTGCTCTATAGCAATCGCCTGTCACCACTAGGGTTCCATTTCTCAACTTCGCAATAAAAGAGTTTGTTAGGTCTCTAACAATTTGAGGGTTTTTCTCCAGGTTCTCCAGTTTTCCTCCCTCTGCAAAACTTAGCATGCTAAATTCCAATTTGATCTGTGAGTTACATGTACCTGTAAAGGTTATTTCAGGGTATTGAGAAAGTTTGAAGGTGCGGTGTGAGCATAAACAAATGCATACAAAACTGACTTACTCTTTCATATTCTTCAGCATTTTCTGGACAATCTGGATTAGCATACTTGTCTATAGGATGCAGCAGTTTCCATGAGTACTACAGAAAATTGCAGCATAAAGTACTCATCATTATTATTATTAATTTATAATTATGTACCATACTCATAAACAGTATTATTTACAATCATACAAAATGTACTTGAAGAGTCCTGAAAACCTCTTTCAAAAAGCTACAGTATCTCAGAGTTGTATTATGGTAATACACTCCTTTAACCTTTGGAATCCCCCGCTCAGTACTGGAGCTTGGTGTCAAATGTGAGCAGAGCTCATTGGATCATTCTCTTGATTTAAGGGTTTTTCTTTGGGCTCTCATTCAACATGCTAAACTCCATATTAAGCCTGTGAGCTAACTGTATCCTAACTTAAATCAGTATAAAATGTTGTTTCAGGGCTTGATAAAATAGTTAGTTCAATCTACAAAGAAAAGAGTCCACTCTGTACAGCATACATGTATGTGTTACGTACAAGCTCTGTAACTTGGCATGTCCAGCTAGAGAGCAACTGCAGACCACGTAAACCCAACTGCCTTAACTCCTTGAACTGATTTTCATCTCTGGGATTGGAGCTGGATGTGATCATCTGCATTTCAATATTAAAGACATAAAGAATTAAGAAAATTGTATCATTGTTAGTTTATTTAATCAAAGATTATCCAATGCAAAGCAAAGTACCATATACATATGCTACATGTACACATATGAGTGGCATGTTTGTCTCTCCACACCATCTAGTTCAAGCCTTGGGTGGTTGCAGATGGGATTATTGACTGAACTGCATAATAGATCTAGAGTTGACTTTGCTTGATTTGTTATTCAGATGCATAGCAGGGTCTCCTTCACATGGGGGRGAAGTACAGTACAGGCCAGAAGTTTTTCATAGACCTTTTCTGAGATAGCGAACATGATGCATTGTGGTCTAGCTTCGGTACAAATGTCTTTGTTCATCATACCTTATATGGTGTTGTTTGTACCGAATCTAGACAACAATGCATTCTGTTTATCGAAYTCAGAAAAGGCCTATGGTCAACTACCATTTGTTTGCCAATACACGTGTGTGCATGGTTGCAGTAAAACATTTTGGGAGGCAAGTCACCCCCCAAGTTGCTATGTTAAAGTTGTTGTTCTCTCTCTTGCCACAAGGTTTTTTTGGGGGGTTTTCCATAAAAATCAACATTTGATTTAAGTGTTGTAGTGAATGTAGTGGTAGTGTGTGAGGCAAACATCACCGATGAGCCCATTATGGGGAGTGATGGTGTTAAATATTGTACCTCATTGTTATATCTTGCCAGTTCACTGATAAATCTGACGTGTTCTTCCCGTATAGTATCCATCCTGTTTGTCAAATTGTACTGCCCCATGTTAATGATCTTCTCATCAGCATTCTCATTTGCACAAGTCCATTTTTCTCGCATGCTGTCAAAGTGAGGGCACATCTTGACATAGCTTGCTAATCCAATTTGGATGTCGCCAAACAATGGAACAACTGGCAATTGCTAGAGAAAAACATTGATCATAAATATTAATGTGTGAATACTCTAATCATTGGCATATTATATTGTTGAGATACCACTGTACGCGACAGGTCACCAGGCCCAGAAGAGTTGTCCGAGAGACACTGGGTACTATTGCGATAGAACTAAGATAGTTAACACAGCACGTGAACTTTAGTTATGAAATTTAGTTATTAAGAGGAATATGGGAGATTGTTATTGAGTTTTTCTTTTGGATTCGATAGGGACACATTCGGT